TAATTTTGGAATGTAATTCGTATTTTAACAATCTGCATTATTTTCACCTGTAAAATGCCACTAGTTTGAAACTACTCCCTTTTTGTTTGGTAAAAAATTATGACAACTAGAAGAACACAAAATAACCACCAAGTTTTTTAGCAAACTCCACAGAAAGAAGATGTAATTGATAACGTCAAAATAATGTCACACTGCAATATTTTGGGAAGCCGAATTACAAAATATGGAAATTTCTAATGAGAATTCCGGCGTATTAAAGATAACTATTATGCAAAGGAAACGTAATTTACCTGCAACTAATTTAATTGGTGAAATTAATGCGAGGAATTGTAGACGTGTTGCAATGTTTCGCGTGTTCCCTATTCATGATGGTTGCGAAATTTATGTCTACTAATGATAATTGCGACATCTCCATAAACCATTTTAGAGCAACTAAACAGTTTATGTGCATTTCATGAATGGTCGATTGGTAACGGGATTACGGGGATTTCTGAAGTGGTTTAAGTAATTAAAGAAGCATTGCGCCAGAAGACGAACGCCAAAGAAGCTATTTACTTTCGGCAGCCTGCTGTTGCCTTTCACGTCAAAGGGGAAACTTTTGCGTCTTGAGACTACATACATAATGTTTTATACATTACATCACTTGAAATAAAAGTTAACTTCAACAAAAAAAAAACTATTTCAAAAGTGTTGAAGTTTTCAAAACTAGAAAGAGGGAAGCAAAACTTAAACATCAAACGATTGCGAGATGTTTTCCTTGCTCCCCGAAGTGCTGCACGCTTAATAGTTCATCAACATTCTTTATTACCTTCGCCTCGAAATAAAGAAAAAGATTTAAACTTTTCAAATTATCTGATCGCCTTCAAAGGAAAGTTAAAATATATCGGTATTATATGCAATATGGGAGATTGAGTACCTGTTTGAAACTTTTAATCAAATTCGGATAACTGCCAATTCTAATATTATCGTAGTTCAAAGCAGCTACTCTTTTAGTAATATATCAAAAGATGATATTATTCAGAAACGGTAACCTAACTTGAACCGTCAGCGTTAGGAAACTTTCACACGCTAAAAATGATATATTGCCTTTTAAAAGAAATCCCTAAACTGTTTCGCGTGCATTGTTATTTTCGTCTAGTTTTACTTTAATATTTCTTTCGCGTAAAATAATTCACCTTCTATAAAATATAAAAGCATCTCCGCCTTAAGTGAATACCTGCGGCCATCAAATTGTAAATTGCAACACTAAACGTCAAGTTTTAAAGATTTTTACATATTGTAACGGTTTTATAGGTATTTAAAACAAAGTGTAAAGCGTTGATTTATTTAATCTGAAAACTCAAATACTCATAACATACAGACTACTCCTCGTAGGTTACGGAACAAACATTGTTGCATCCAAATCGTTCAATTTTTACAAGAATGTAATATTGCTTTAATTAGAAACACCACGCAGCGTTGTCTATCTCATTTTTCTAGCCACACTGGTGCTGTTACCACGTCACCACCTTTTGTACTCGGTTGTTGCCATTTATTTATTCCATTTTGTTGCTATTCGTTTGACTTTAGCAGTGGCACGGGCGTGTTTCGCAGGTCTCTGTCCTGATTAACGTTGGGCAAGGGAATCGATTATAATCAAACGATAATCGATAATCCGATTTGATTATTCTTTTAAATTAATCGATTAATGAAATTATTTGATTAATCGATTATTTGATTGATAGATTGTTTGATTAATTAATACAAGCAGTAATCGATTATTGATTGTTTGACTAATCGATTAATAAGTTAATTTGAATTGATTATTTATTAGCTCGATTCTCGGTTTACTCAAAAAGTAGCGGCCACAGTAAGTACATTTCATTTTGTCGCGATTCGCTTTTACCATTGAATACAAAGTGTTTTTATTCAATGCTTTTACGTACTCATTTTAAATTGGCATAACTGCAGATATTCGAAGAGCATTTCTACAAATTGGAGTTCACCCTGCAGACCGAGATTTTGTAAAGTTTTTGTACGTAGAAGTAGAAGGTGGGGAGGTCTATCGCCATCAACGAGTGATTTTGGCGTCAGCACTAGCCCTTTTTGACTTTCAGCGATGCTAGATTACCATTTATCGTCTATTTTGGAAAAATGCAATACAGGAAATTCGATCTACAATAAAAACACTGTAATATCTTTGCGGAAAAGTTCTACGTAGATAATTGCGTAACGTAAGGCAAAAATCGATTAATCGATTATAATCAACCGATAATCGATACTCGGGTATAATTATTCTTTTAAATTAATCGATTATTTGAATATTGGATTAGTTGATTAATGTTATACCGACTCTACAGCAAATGAGTATTTACTCAACCACACAATGAAACTTGTTTCAAGAAAAGTACATTGTAGTCAAAGGTTACAACTTTATGCACAATGACAATACGGCGTCAAGGGATGGAAACAGGAATAAAATATTAAAAATAAACGGCTGGAAATTACAACTGCGAATCAAGAAAAACAGATTGATAAACTCAACACGGTTCTATTACAAAAACCATTGTCTACACCTGATAGTGTAACATAATATCAAGAAACTTAAAATGAATGCTTCACTAGATAAAACTACTCCCAGAGGAATACATGAAAAAGAGACAAAAAAACCTAGTTAACAAAAGAACTGATTAGGAAAGCTTTAGAATTATATTAAAAGGTAATATTAATTTGGCAGTCCCACAACACACTGCAGAACAACTGCACCACTGATTGAAAAATGATATTCAGCACTCGGCATGGCAAAACCCCACAGTGCAAAAGAAATCTCAAAGGTGATAACTGCCCAAAAGAAATTTTGGAATTGATAGCAGATAAAAGAAAAATGGCAGTTGATACAGTTCTGCTAGGTAAAACTAAGAAAAATAATCTCACAGCTGAGAAATGAAATAAAACAGATAAAAAACGACACCATCAATGAATTTCTACAAATTATCGTACGAATGTAGTTCTTTATGGAAAACAACTAAACACATGAAAGGACCAATCATCATTTCCGATCAAAAATGTAGATGGGAGCTGAACTAAAACCAATGAGCAAAATGCCATAAGATTCGCAGAACACCTCGGAGAAATATTTCGGCCGAACTCAGGAACTGTTACTTTACCTGACTTCAACGGACAAGAGGAAAGAGAAATCCCATCTACTACTCTGGCTGAAGGTAAAAGAAAAGTAGGAACTAATATTAATCCAAAAAAGCTCCTGGATTGATAACCGGACAGGTTTTAAAAGAATTGCTGAGGAAAGCTTTAGTTAAAATTACACACCTAATTAATGCTTCATTCAAACTTCAGTATGTACCACACTGTGGAAGGTGGGAGGTCATTTTTTACCCCTTACTAAGAGGTGGTCAAAATTGAACAAGTAGTTTACGACGGACGAACAAACAAAAAAAGTGGTAGGAGCTGCGCGCCTTATGTTCTTGTAAACAAAGTTTAAAAGAGTTTATTTTATTAGGTACTCAAATCTCGCAAGTAAATTTTGTATGACATATTTAATTTTTTTCTCTGGTAAGTAGTGTGCATATCGCAGATAAGGTGGAATTGTTTGTGATTGCTGACATATTCTTCAACCTGATTAATGGCAAGCCATTTTCAAAGGAAAACTACAATGTTACAAAAATTATGGTTTATCTTAAATAACTTCTTACTTCAACTAATAATCTTCAGCCGTGTTAAAACCACAACTAAGGACGCTTAAGGCAATGTATCAAAACCAGAGGCAGACCTTTTTCCTGCCCCCTGTCACTTTATCGGCCGCACCTGTCACATTGCTAAGTGTCTATAGTGACACAAACTATTTCACTCGGAAATTAAAATGCTCGGACCTAAAGGGGCCTCGTACTTCAATATCTTCTCGCCAATAATGGGCCATTCTTCTAACTTTTATGTAAATAACTATACCTCTTTTCCAGACGGTGGTTTAAAGATCAGGCATCTGAGCAAAGAAAATTTTTTACTTCATGAAACCAAAATCGTAGATCTGTTCATTATTTTGCATGACCCAGAAGTAAATTTTACGCTTTTTGTGTGACCAAGTATATTATGATCATCAAGAAATTGATACAATTATACAAGTTGCACTAATTAGTATCTGCAACGGGGACACGTGACCAGGGCTGGGTTTGATGGTTGTGCGCCCCTAGCCCCAAAAATTTGTCGCCCGTAATTAATTAATTGGTAAGGACTTTTGTGATAAATATTGAATAACGTATAAACTATGGGGTTTAGACACAGGAAGTCCCTTATAAAAAAATTGAGGAGAGCACAAAAGACTGACGAATACTCAAATAAAAAATAGTAGTTCCATTTGAAAAAAAACTGTTATAGCTCTTTGAAATTCAGATATTTCATTGTGAACACCCTGTATCACTAAATCTTTCTCATTATCAAAGTGGTACTTTTTACTCGGATGAACACTATTGCTCAAATTTTATTTTTGAAGGTCGCTACGATTCATAAAAGCGAGGCTGGCTTATGTGGATTTATTCGAAAAAAAATTAATAAGAGGGCAACATTGACAAAAAATCAAAAAGTGAATCGGTTTCAATACCTGACAACTAATTTTCTATTTAAAAAGTTATTTATTTACACCGTAAAAAGGAACACCTGTAGGTACATTCAAATAGAGTTTCTGTGGACGCACAACCATCTATAGTTGACATTTGCACGAAAGCTTTTTTATATTTTTTACCAGGCATGGGCTAGGAAGGACCGACCAACTGTTGCAGGACCCTGTATAATCCATTACAACGCTTCTTTTGTTAAGCTGAAATTATCATAAGTTTGCATTTTAATTTAAAAAAATGTAAATTGGCTTGGCAAACATGCGCCCCTTAGAACAATGCACATCCATAAATCCATTACGTGGCTACACGTTATCATATCCAAACAAAGTTTGTACACAATTTTTTTTTAAATCTACGCGTTTCGCAATCTAAGTTTAGACGTTTGTTAACTGTAACTGCAAGATGCCGCGAACAAGTCATTTCACGATCTGTTTACTGGTGATCATTACACAGGTATTGTTCATCATCTTCCATTTTAATTTCACTCCAGGTGGGGTACCCGCTCCAATTCCTTCCCGTCAAAGTACACTTCCCAAGTATATCCTTTACTGGACCCCATTTTGGGGATTCCGAGATTTTTTAATTGGATTTGGTATGGAACCGTTTGAGAATTGCGAATATAAAAACTGTTTTGCTACGAACAATAGAAGCCTGAAGCCCATCGAGGAATTCAACGCCATACTTTTTCACGGGACGATTTACAATCCGAAGAAAAATGGCCGACCGCAGTCGCGAAGAAAAGAGCAAGTTTACATTTTCCTCAACGTGGAAGCACCGGTTTACATAGCGCCAAACTTTGCAAAATTCAATTCGTTCTACAATTGGACGATGACTTACCGATTCGACTCCGATATCGTATGGCGACACGGTAAGTTCATCGAAGAAGAGTCGAACTACACTTTACCATCGGCCGAGGCCGTCCAAAAGAAGACCAAGCTAATCGCGTGGTTCGCCAGTCACTGCAAAACCTCGAGTAGGCGAGAAAGATTGGCTGCCGAAATGCAAAAATTTCTACCTGTCGACATTTACGGATCTTGTGGTCCTCTCAAATGCGGGAAGTCCAAAAACAATAGTAAACTTTCCTCATCAAAGTGCTACGACATGCTCGATGAAGATTACAAATTTTACCTTTCGTTCGAGAACTCGATTTGCAAGGACTATTCGACCGAAAAGCTGTACAACGTGCTCCGAAAAAACGTGGTACCGATAGTTTACGGCGGGGGTGATTACAATTTGAGCGCCCCCCCGCATTCTGTCATTGACGTTTCCAATTTTCACTCAGTCGAGGAGCTTGTCGAATATTTAAGTCACTTGGACCGCAACGTGACCGAATACCTGAAGTACTTTGAGTGGAAGAAGAATTATAAAGTTGTGAAACAGGATAGGGCATGCGATATTTGCAAAAAACTACACGAACCGTTTCCGGATTCGGTGTACAATGATTTAACAAGTTGGTCGTTTGGTACGCACGGCGAGATTTGCAAGACGAGTAAACATTTACCGGAAATTGTACGACAGTTATTGTAACCATCCACGATTTGCAGATGTAAAATTTTTGTTTATTGTTGTCGATAAAATTTGAAGCTCCTCCAATTTTGTGACTAATTTGCCCAAGCTGCATCTATTCCAAATCTGTTTTTTCATTCTTTCATCTTGGAGCGTGAAAAGAGGTAAATATTTAAATCGAGTTATTATGTTAGATAAAGATAAATAAGCAAGATAATAATGATTGCTTTCACAACAGTTGGGTCAATGAATCACACGTAACGTGTAGGCAAAAAAATTCCCAAGACTTCACGTCCCAGTGACCTTCTGACACCGAAACGCCTAAATATACCATCCCAATCAGTACGTTCAATATTAAATTTGAGTTGTGTATCATTTGTATGGTGTACTTGTAATTGCAAGGTGGTGAATGTCCAAATGTGATAGCAGAGGGCGATCTTTGACCCGCTCGCCAGTTTCTGGTTGGGGTTCATAAAATATAAGGGGAGTAAAGGTCGCCAAATTATTTACCAAGTATGATGTCCTTAGAATTATGGGGAACTGCGTGCCCCACTACTTTCAATAAAACGCTTATGATTTGGGGAAGACACAGTGCAAATTTTGTTTCTCTTTAATTGCGAATAAATCTTTCACTTTTTACTAAAGATTTCCGTGGAGAGAAACAACTCAAAAAAATTCCAGTTCACGCACTTGCTCACTTGCAGCAAACTAATAATTTTGACATTAAGCATTAATTAAAGGTGAAATAACGTTACCAAGTGTGAGACGGTAAAATGAATTTAAAGGAGAACCAGTAGCTGTAAGCTTACACTCGCTGAGCTCGTTCGATCTACTCTTTCATGTCCTTGAGTTCATACGTCCAAGGGTTAAGTCTTTTGTGTATAATAAATGGTTCTAAACATTTCGGTCCTAATTTGGCTGTATAAAATGTAGCCCTCGCATCGGAAATACAATTTTTTTCCCAATAAACCGATTCCCCTACCATTTATTGTGCATCCCTTCTCCTTAAGTTATAATGATTCGTCATTTTCACTGAGGCCTGCGCTATTCTAAGATATATCTTTAATAAGAATTTTAAATCCTTCCGATCTGAGACTAACTGAAGTTCTGTCTGCGATAAATTCATTGGTGTCATCTTTAAAAGCACTTCTTATATAGAGGACCCGATCGCACAAGCAAGGCAATAAGCTACTCCAAGTTTTTGTTCGACATAAGATGACGACACAGATTCAGAACCTTGTTGACTCGTTCTGTGTTTGCCTGCGCACGATAATAGGGTGTGTACCTTATCTTGACGTTATATGCTTACAGTAATTTGCTGAAATCCTTAGATTTAAATTGTACACCATTATCTACAATGATCGATGTAGGAACGCCGAATAAAAGGAAAACTTAAAATTTTAAGGTTAGGGGTGTATATACAAACCTAACCTTCAAATCAACACACTTACCATTTCTACTTCCACTATCGACATTAGATTTTAATATGTAACTTGTCCTCGTCCAACAATTTTAACATGTACAAGTATTTTAATTTCAATTGTTCATATTATTCAGCAAATTTAGACGCCTAGGTCTGAAGATGAAAAATTGTTTCGAAATCGATAACGTTAGTAAAAGTTTAATGTAAATTATTTGAAAAAAAATTCGTATTTTTCTATCTACATAATCTGAAAAGATATTTTGTAGAAAAAATTATTTAACTTAGTTTATTGAAGGGGTGTTAATGTTAAATCCGAAAAAAGACTACACTCCTTAGTCTCTATGTTCTAATGTCCACACAATCTGACTCAGATTGGAGACTGCAATTTCGGTCAATGTCCAAAAATCCGCACCTTTAACTCAGGTATGATTAAAATATGTACAATTTTTGTTTTGTATAATTTGGAACGGTCATTCTTCCAGATACCTCGCTTTGTTCGCCATTGGACACTGCAAATCGATCGATAATTGACTTTACTACTATTTTAGTTTTTTTATTTTTTTAGTTTTAGTAGCTGCCATCCAAGTATGGTGCGTGAGGCTACTCCTACATTGGAAGCGGAGTCGATCTGGCCACCAGACCCGACCGCGTATTGGCATTCTGTACTATGATTCAGAGCAGCTTTGGTCTGATTCGCAGTATACTATGGCTTCACGTTATGCGCAAATTGATAATACATTATGTACTGCGATTCAGAGCACCGATATGGTTTAGACTTTAGAGTTCTGAAACGCTGTATATAATGGGTTTCTGCAAAGCGCGTGTACCTTAGTCAAAATTATACTGCGATTTAGCAAATTTATACTTACTGCGATTCAGAAATAATGTCAAATCGCGTAGGAGAATAGTTTGGTTATCTCTAAACATCTTTAGATTGTCAGACTTACAAGACGTATGTTTTTATGGTTACCTTAGTTTAGTTTAGTTTTATTTATCCCCATACCGATTACAAAGTAATATTGGGTTGTCACAGCAAGAAAGGTACATTTTTTGTGGTTTGTGTGTGATCAAGGTTCTCAAACTGCACTAAAATGAACTATAAAGAGGTATTGGTTGAAATGTATAAAGAGAATACATTTTCAATGATCGAATATTTGGAACGAGTAGAACATGGATTTAAAGCGAAACTTCGACTTAAAAAACGGGTGAAGATATTAACAGTGTTTGGTGCGACACGGGGTTAGCTGATTTTAGTAATAATTTCAATTAGAAATTAGTAATTTGTGCAATAGAATTAAAAATATCAAGTCGCACATATTGGTAAATGAATTAAAAATATCAACGCGATATTTTTAAATCACATATAGCAAATTAACCTGCCCTCTAGCGACAGTAAGTTTAATAATCGGAACAGAATTTAAAATCTCCATTTCGCGTAATTGTACATTTTTTTTGACAATATTATTCGCACAATGTATTTATGAACGATATGGGTAATAAAATAAGCACTTGAAAGTAGATTTTCGCGGTAATTACATCAAACGTGATTAGTTGGGTTGAGGTTCGCTCCTCACTTTTGACATCACTCGATAGATGGCGCCACAATTTTTTATATGTCATGACATATAAGTAAATCGAATTACCAATATCACAGAGTTGATATTAAAAATTAAATTGTGCGTTCCAAAGTTACGAGTTTGAAATAGAGAATTGAATTTTTTGTTTCAACTTGAAATTGAAAATTATTACAAAGCGTGAAGGTGATATTAAAGATTATTTAATATCAAATCGATAATTTTTGAACATTAAAATTTTCAACACGTTATTTCTAAATCGTGATATATGAATAAGACTGCCGATTTGAAATTGTATATGCCATTTCAATAACGGTTTTTGAAATTTCGCACAAAAACCGTTATTTGAAATTGTAAAAGAGGAAATTATTGCGAGTTGTTATTGGAAGATATGCAATTATTAATTTCAACTAGGCAATTGTTGTTAACACAAAGTAAATTTCTACAAATTTTAGTACCATTGCGTCAATTATAATTAATTTTTTTAGTCCGGGTGTTCAGTTATTAAAAGATACAACGGCGTTCCATAGTATTCTGTTAATTAAATGTTTGGTCGATTCAGCTGACGCTGTAGAGACAACTTCACGACCTAGAAGCGTGTCGTGAAATCGTTTCTTCGCTGCCAATTGCAATCCGGGCAAGTACCTATCGTATACTTTGGTTTTTTACACTTGAAACAATAAATTTTAGTTCGGGGGGTGCAATTAGCAGCAACATTGTTACATCTAAAACACCTACGCCCGGTTTCACAAACGATGATTAAGATTAATCATTGATAAAAAATATTAGAATGTTACGCCACCTTTGATTATGAGGCCAAGGGTGTACCATTCTAATATTTTTAATCATAGATTACCGCTGATCATCGTTTGTGAAACCGGGAATTAAGGTTCGAAATTTCATTGATACCACTTGTTGATGGTTCCGAAAACTACATTAAGGAACTAAAAAAAAATTGATACATGTCAAAATTCCGTTTGTTTAGTTGCCATTGAGAAATTGAAACGTTTCGACATATTCCAGAAGTTCCAGAAAATTCAAAAGTTCAAATTGTTGTTTTATACATGATAAGATTCTACAGTAATTGTCGGAAACCAGTGCAAGATGGCAGTTTTGTAAGATTATCAACTATTAAGTTGAATTGTGCTGTGAAAATCCTGGTGCAAATTGTATGTGAGATTTTACAGAAGAAGGAAAAATTGTTAGAGTGGTTACAACTAAGACTAGGTTTCACCGAGTGGAAAATGCTGAGAAAAGTACTCTAAAAAATATAAAATTAGATCATATAAATTATCATTAAAATATATATATAGTGTGTCCCAGGTAGAAAACTATTGACACTTTCAGATTAATTCATCAATGGCTAATGTTTGGCGACAGCCGATGGCTAACCGCTACTTGATTAAAAACCAAATGGATGTTTAATCTGCGCAATCGATTGACAGTCCTCCAAAATGCAAATGCTCATATCGCGTGGTCGTACGCATTAATCAATCAAAAATGAAAGTAGACGGATGTCGAAACCTTTATCAATTTCGGTTTAATTGTCCTCCCCCAAAACGAATAAATACGGACATTGAAAGCTTCGGTAATATAAATATTCGCATTGCGGAGATATTCTGGAGATGGAAATGTTGAGGTGAAAGGGATTACTAAATTTTGCATAAACATTATAAGTAAATCCACTTATCGGACTATGATAATAGCCTTCCCTTTGTTTGCACAAAGTTTATATTCATTTATGGAACAGCAGTTTCCACTTCCTTAATTCAAAACGCATTAAATGTGGTGTTCAAAAGATAACGTTGTCTTTTTAAGGTAATCTATATTACGTTTGCGTCAAATCCGAATTTCGCAGTATTGGGATATATTTACTTTGTGTTTAACGTAAAACCGCGCATCCCTTACAGTAAGTGTAATAATGCACAATGTGTTTGCACTTTTAAAAAACGAGGTGCCAAATTCTTGACAGAACACCTTCCTACCTCAAAGCAGATATTAAAAAAAAGAACTTTGACATTGCTTTTATCCGTTTTTTGTTTAAATAAAACCTAGCATAATTTTTGTGGGTTGTAAAATAAAAAGAAAGTATTTTGAATAATTGAATAACTTGCTATATTTGTAAAAAAAAGTCCGGTGTCGTTGCGGCGGTCCAAAATGTTTCGTTTCCATATGCCTATACTGTACATATCCAAAATTTGAACAAAATCCGTCGAGCCGTTATCTTGGAAAATTGCCTAATTAATTACATATACAGGGTGTAAATCGAAAAGTGGAACATAGGCGTTTAACATGGGAAATTACTTTTTCTTTGCGCAAACGTTTCCTAATTCCGAAAACGGCTTTATGGCTCAGTGGTAGAGCGCTAGGCTATACATCCGGCGGTCGGGTGTTCGAATTTTTCATCTGTGGCAGAGATGGAAATTACCTTAGACCAGTTCCGAGCATTCTACCGGCTACTCCGAATTAGGTTTTCTTGCAGTTTTCCTAATTCGTAAGGTAAATACCGGAGTAGTATAGACCAACTTAAGACCTTCTGCAGGGGCACCTCTAAAAAGCATTATGCGGGTCACTCTGTAATTGGGCACAAGCCTGTTGAGGACCAAGAACAAGAGAGGGATAATAAATAAATAAATAAATAAATAAATAATTATTTTACGCAAAAATACTTCAAATAAAAGTTATAGAGATATAAATTCTGCATCTAAATC